CGGCCGTTGCCTGGGAACGGCGGTCGCAGAAGCGAAGAGACGCGGGGATCGCTGTGTCGGTGAGCGGGGGGGGTCCCCGGGAGGGTCTCCAGGGGGGTCCCTCGGGACAGCAGAAGGCACCGAAGCCTGGAGGGGGCTCGGGAACGGCTCCRTGTGAGCCCGGTGAGAGCCGTGCGACCACAGCAATTCCTAGGCGGCCGCTCCCGAGCTTCCGTMCCGCCCGCCGGGGCCCGGGGAGGGKTTTCCCAGGGCCTCTTTCCCTTTCCGTGAAAGTTTTCTGTGCACAAGGTTTGTGTRTTGACTCAAATCCAGACCCATGAAGCCGGAGACGAACCAGCTGCCGCCCAGGAACAGCTCTGTGCTTATGACAAAACCCCATCCAAAGGGAAATTTCCATGCCCGGCGCGGTGAGCGGGCAGACGAGGGAGGGAGCCTGCACTCGGCTGGAATAACCGGAGCTGGTTATTACTATAACTGGGCTCGCTTGTGTTCAGTATAGGAGTGTTACTGGAGCTGAGAAGGGGCTCTGGRACTCAGTTTTCAGCTTCACAGGTGCCCTTTCCTCCTGCTGTGCCCAATTTTAGGTCGTACTGCAGCCGAGTCTGGGAGTGTGTGGGGAAGTATTTCAGAGCATCTGCACACCTCAGCTCCCTGGGAGGAGGGCGAAGGTGGATGGATAGTCCATGAGAAGTTACAGGGGAGTGACCCACTGAGGGAAGAGCAGGACTAAGCAGACAGCCCGAGGAGATGTCTCAGGACGAACAGACGGCTGAGGAGACGGATGTGCAGCYTGAGGAGGTGAGGACTGTGCCATGGGCCGTTCTGCTTGAGACAGGGTCTGGGGCGGATCCTGATGGAAACAGAGCCCCTGGGATCTGAGACATGCTGGAGTTCATTCCCACTCACTGCAGTTTGTCTAGACCAGACCAGGAGCCAGCATTTACCAAAATCTCTCTCCTTTTTCAAGGATGTCCTTGATGCTGCCAATGAGGAGGAAGAAGAAATACAAGAGGAGTCACCGCGGTGTCCCCCRTCATCTCCTTTAGGTATGGGGGTCCCAGACACCCTGGGAGCTGGGTCACCCTGGGGGAAGGCACTGCTGGGACATCAGTCTGGAGGGTGCTGGACCCCCTGCACTGAGTGCAAGGGAGCCATTTCCCTCCCTCTCTCAGGCTACAGGGAGCAGCACACACAGCGTAACTCCAGCTTGGTGTGGGGGGCCACGCCGGGGATGCTGTTCCAGAAGAAAAGGGAGAACAGCCTTCACCCCCTTGTGAGTACCAGCGGGCACAGTGCCACCAGGATGGTCCACAATGCACCCAGTGCTCTCTTCCACCACCCCAMAGACCTCGTGTGGCATTTTTTTGTCCCAGCTGCTGAGAGCCAGGAACTGCCTGTTCCCTGCAGAACCTGTCTTGGGTGTTTGGCTACAACAGCAGCCTGGCCGTGCACAGCCTGATGGACGGGGAGGACGAGGTGCTCCTGTATGCCTCCTCCCACACTGTGGTCATCCACGATATCCTGGGGAACAAGCAGTACCACTTGCAGGTCTGCACATAGCCAAACATCTCTCTCTTTCTTCCCTTTTCCTGAACCCCCTCCCTCCCTCCATCTGTTTTGCTGGTGCCATGTGCTCAGAGGGCACCTGTAACCAGGAGCAGCCCATACAAAAGGTATGGATGAAACAGCCTCTAAGGCACTTTGCTGCTTCCTTCCCCCAGGGCCACACCAATGTCATCTCTTGCCTGTGTGTGAGTGAAGACAAACGCTGGGTTGCRACTGCTGACAAAGGCCCAGATGCTCTGATTATTGTGTGGGACTCCTACTCTGGGTAAGCACCCAGAAACCTCCTCTTTGGAAACCCCCTGTGTGCAGTAAATCACTCAGGAGTGACTCCTGCTTCAGCTCAGAGTGAAGTGGGAGAACACAGGGACAGATTAAGAAGCAGCAAAGGAACCAAAACCAAACTGAGGCCTTCATTGTATCACCCACACCCATCTCAGGGACACTGAGATGGGGCTGAGCTCCCCCACATTAAATATATCACATCTCCATGCTGTAGGATCTTCTAAGATCCTGGGGAGCTGTTTCACAGCACCACTCACTTGGGAGAAAGGGATGGAGGGGACATTGAGGACCATCCTGCAGCAGCAATGGTGTTTGCAGCCTCCCTCCCTCCCTCTCTCCATCCCTCCTTCCACACAGTCCAGGGTGGGTGGGTTGTGCCACAGATTTTGCCAAGTGACTGCCTTGAACCCCCTGTGCTGCCAGGAGCACCCAYGAGATCTCTGCTCTGTAGGGTACCCGTGCACACCATCTTCGAGAGCCATCCAGAGGACGGAGTCTGTGCCATTGCCATTTCCCAGGACTCAAARTATTTGGTGACCATTAGTGCTGGTACAGAGCAGGTAAAGAGAATATTTCCTCTTTCAGAGCTTTGCAGGACAGAGAGCTGGAAGTTTTTTGCAGTGCAGCACAGAAGAGGTGGGAATTCAGATGGGGAGAGCAGAGAAAGGGGGAGCAGATTTGCAGAGTGATGGTTGGTTTTTGCTGAGCCATAAGAAGACAGACCTGGATTTCATTAAAGGGAATGCTGCAGATTTGAGAWAATGGATCTTAATTTGGGATAAAAGCTTCTGACTTCATCACTTTCATCAAAGTAATTTCTAGCRTTATTTCCTGAAATTAAGTGTTCTGCTGCCAGGCTGTGCTGGGTTTTACTCTGCTCCAGTCTTKTAGGCCCCACCATCCCCTGCAGTGGGTGGGGAATGGGATTCACCCAGCTCCCCCAACCTCCCAAAAAGCCACAAGTGTTTCTTGGATTTTTTTTTCCTTCTCTTCCAGAAAGTTTGTGTTTGGAGGTGGACTAGGCCCACAGAGAAACCCATATGCTTCACAGAGCTGAGGCCTGAGTTTGGGCATCAGGTGAGCAATGATAGCTGAGAGGGCCAGAGGGGCTGGAATGGACTGGGCTGGACTGGGCAGCTCCATCCTGCTCCCCCCTGTGCCCCCAAACCCCCATCCAACACGGGGCTGCTGGTAGATGCCAGCTTGGGATGGGAGGCAGGATCCTCCCGTCCCTGGAGCACCCTGATGCAGCAGAGCACCCCAGAGGGTTATCCCTGTTCCTCTGATGCCTGACAGACCTGGGGTGTCCTCTTTTTTTCAGTCCAGTGCAGCTGGTGAGGTGGTTTGGGATAAATCCAGTACGGAAGAATAAGCTGAAAGCATTTCTCGGCTTGGTGCTAATGGGATTCTCACCTTTGAATTTCAGGATTATGTCCTTTTTAAYCCTCAGAATCCCCACGAGTTTGTCAGCAACAGCAAAAAGCAGGTGCTGTTTTATGTGTGGGTAAGTAGGGACGTGGGAAGTTGCATTTCTGGTGCCGGAAAGGAGGTGCCATGGGGGGCTCTGAGGTTGGGTGTCTGTCCACAACTGGGGTCACACTTTGAAGATCTGTCCCTGCCCTTGCCCCCATCACCCTTCCCTGCTTCCCACCCTTGTCAGATCCCAAAGTGGTCGGGGCAGAGTTTCACTCTCCCTTCTACTCCTGCTTTCCCATGGACCCTGTGTAATTCAGCAGCTTTTGAAAGAGAAGCAGGAGGAAGGAGCTGGTTTTGTGCCCTCTGGAAGATCTTGGAGCCTTTTTGCCCCAGGAGTCCTGCTTTGGTCACCACAGTGTGGGGCCAGAACCCAGATGGAGGGGAGGGGACACACTGGCACTGCAGAACTCCGTTCCAAAATTCTTGTCCTGGATGTTTTCTCTGCTTTCCCCAGGATGAATCTGGTTTGCAGTACGGAGCACCATTCCTGAGCAACCAGGTGAGCACAGGGGGGACACAGCATGTCACCCTCTTGGCTTTCCTCCTGGCAGCAGCACTGTCCCTCCCCATACCCTTGAGCACAATGGCCACGTCCCCAGCCTGTCCCCCTCAGACAGGTCAGGACCTGRGCTCAAGCAGGGCTCTCTCCCCAAGATGCCCCATTGCTTCTTCTCCTGGGGCTCTTGTTGTTTGGGGGCAGGGAGGGAATGTCATGAGACCAAGCAGA